CACAATGGTCCGCTCTTGCCCCTCATCTCCTGATGAGCAAACTGAGACGAACGCATGGTGAGACCAATGGTGGGGCAGCCGGTGAAAGGAAAATGAGACAAATTCCCTGCATGTGGGCCTAAGGAGAAGATAACTTGCAAGAGCTGAAACTACCAGGTCACTTTAGGATGCCACTTGATCTCCTCCACTTTCTATAAAATGACAAGAAATGCAAATCACATGCTGAAAGGAGCACATTCTTCTCAGGGTTCCTCCTGGCCAGCCACTGAAAGACACCTGCACACAGAACCCCGACTTCACTCCACAGGCCACCATCTCTCCATCCCTTTCCAAAGTTTTGGGGCTTTGGGGGACGTGAGTTAATCCATTGAGGTGCCTGGCTTCCCCCTTTCAAACGAGAGCATGCACCTCACTCCAGATCCATCCTCTGGGCTTTCTGACTTCCGATTTCCAGGGAGGAAAGAAAGATGCAGAAACACACGCTTCTGTTTTGTTGCTGTGAGGAGCCTTTGTGAAATGGAGCTACAGGCATCCGGCCAAACCTTATTTTCCCTTCCTAACCCTCAGCTTGGTCCCTGCAGGAATCCGATCTGGCTCAACTAGGCCGGCCCTCTGCACGCTGGCTGTTACCGTGATGTTTGTGATGGAGCTGGGTGGCTGGGACGGCCTCTTGCTTCCCCTGTGCTCTCCCTTAGTCCTGGCCATTTCTCAGGACGCATCAGAACCTCCACCAGAGGGGAAGGGGGCAAACAGGAGGGTAACCCTCTGATTAGTTGGTTAGTCTGCTGGTTAGTGGATTTGAGAGAAAATCACTAAGGTTAGGGGTGACAACACTGTCCCCCAGACTGGGATCATAGATGACACTCAGTGAACATGTCAAATAAAAACGTTAATGAATACAGGAGGAGAGAGAAACCCCTGGCTATAAGATTTCAGGTTTGTTTTTTTTTAATCTATGTGTCTGTGATGTTAAGGCAAGGGATAATTATGAGTTAATTGTGTCAGGTTTACAAATGTGCTATTACCTACAAAATAATCTTTCTTTTAGCTCTTGAGAGTTTGATTTTCCAGAATTTATACTGCATTTCCATCCAACACTCAAGCAAGATTAATTTGGATTTGCATAATCTTGTCAAGGCTTTTCATTTCTGCTCGACTCCAATTATAATGAATTAGTCCTGCTCTCCAGTTAAAAAGTATAGTCTTAAAGGGGCAATACATTCTGGATGGCCGGGTTTCCTAAAATGGCTTTGGGGTAGAGGCTCTTTTCAGCCATAGCCCCACAACCAATGCCAATCACTGAAGCATTATTTTAGCCCCAGAAGGTGACCTTTGGGTGGTCATCTAATCCAATGACCTTACTGTGTGGCTGAAGAAACTAAGGCTCAGATAGGAGAAGGGACAGACCGATCATCACTCCCCAATTCTTCACCCCTTCCTTCATGTCCTTTGCCCTGTGAGTCTGCTGGTCTTCCCACTAGAGGGGGGCGGGTATATTTTCCCCAATCCATTGATGTTGACCTCTGCCAATAAAATGTGGGTGGAAGTGAAGGTAAGTCAGTCCCAAGCGAAGACTCTAAGAGGCACCCTGTATTTCCCCTTGCCCTCTTGCATTCCAGTGACACACCGTGAGAAGCGCACTCCCCAGCCAGCCACTGGTTCAAAGAAAAGGAGCAAACGCATGGAGTAGACATGGACCCCACCTGCTGCCTGAATCAAATACAAGCAGCTGCAGCATGAGGCAGAGCTACGTAGCCAGCCCCAGCTGAGATTAATCAAACTACAGTCAACCCCAGGATGCTGAGCAGGAGAATAAATGCTTGTGATTATAAACTACCAAGTTTAGGGGTGGGTTGTTATGTGGCTTATTGTAGCAATAGCTGACTGATACAGCTACTGGGCTGAAACCCCAACTCTTAGTCCCCTCTAGTCTGGGGCCCTTTTCTCCAGCATGGGGTGCTGGGTACACTCACCATCCACACCATCATGTAGGAGAAGGCTGCGATCCATAACGTGGAGGAAGCAAATGTCACCATAAACCATTTCTCCCAGCGAGGCTTGTTGCAGTTGGGTACAGTGAAGTATAAGACCAAACTCAGTGGCCAGGTGAACACCCACTTCACGATTTCCAGTTTGCCAGCTGGAAAAATGAAAAAGGCAAAAACCAACAACAAAAAATCAGATAGCTTTATTTGTCTGCTCTGCTAGCCCCTCACATTGATTTCCCCAAAACTAAGTTATTATATGGCTCTTTTCCTAAAACATTCAAATGGCTTTCCACCAACAAAACCTGACA